CAAATGTAGGTGTTTGTTGAATCTTTTTATTTAAATCGACTATGGTTCTATCATTTTGTGCTATGGTTTGATCTTTTTGGGCAATGGTTTGATCTTTTTGGGCAAGAGATTGTTTTAAACTTGCAACTTCGGCTTCTAATTGTTCTATTTTCTTATCTTCGACTAAGAAATATGGTATAATGGCTTGATCCTTTAAATAATTTGTTATCTTTATCCATACCCATCGAGTTCCACGATAATCTTTTATATCATATGCTAAAATTATTCTACTAAGCTGTATCTCTTTAATTAGCAAAGTAAAGCTATTATGTTCAAAAAAATAATCATTATTTTGTCCATCAATCACTATTCTACTTAATTTTTCATTTTGACTAAGGTCTATACTTTCTAAAATATTAAATCGAGCGTCTTGCTGAAAAGTGATTTTTCTGAGGTTAGGAAATAGCGCCAAGTCTAATTCTCCTTTCAGCTGTTCGGAATTAAAATAGTCATAAACATTGAGTACCTCACCCAAAAGGGAAGGTTGATTATTACCTTTCTGAAAATATATATGTTTCGTTTCTGTTTTTTGACCATTACTTAAATGTTTAAATATCGTTTGTGCCATAGTTGAATTTATTTTCGAATTGTTTGTTTTTAAACACTTGAGAACATAATTGACGTAATTGTGACTTCAATTATAGTTGGTCTGTTTATTAGTTACTTTATTCATGAGAACAGAAGTTCATTACAAACTGTCCAGAATCTAACAATTATATAACGGTAATATATCTAATGATACTACATATACTCGATGATCTATATACTTTTTTGCATGATTTTATTGGGGTCCGTCATATGCTAATCAATCAAATCTATATCGATATCAGGTGTTATAATGATTACGGTACGATTCCCCGAAAGTTATTTATCCGACAGGCCACTTACCCGACATCACAAGGGTGACAAATTGCTAAAAATATATACCTGCAGCTAACCAAATGCTAATCCTAACCCTATGTGATGTCGGGTAAGTGACCTGTCGGTTAAATAGCTTTCGGGGAATTGAGCAACAACCGTTATTGATAATATATGCATAGATCGACAAAACCGATATATTACTATATATAGTATGTATTCAAAAATTGATTCACCTCAACAATTTTTTTCTGGCAATATTTGCGGCAAATAATTATTATGTAGAAAAAGTTACAGCTTTAAATTTTTATTATTAAGAGTTAATTTATAACAAATTTTATTTTTTGGTTGAAATTTATATGTGATATTTAAAAAAATCTTTATTTAATTAAAATTTTAAAACTGTAGCTTCTTTTTACTGCATTATAATAACCGTTTGACACAAAAATTGTCAGAAAACAATTGTTAGTACGTGAGGTGAATCAATTTTTTAAATACTAATATTTTGTTAGTTTTTGTCGATCTATGCATAAAATCTATACGTATTACGTATTAAATTTTATTATAATACCTGATATAGATCTGATTAATTAGTATATGACGGACCCCAACGATTTATGCCAAGTACGTTTCTCATAACGATAATACGTACCGGTACGTATCGGTATCTGACTCGTTACTTTTAACGTTAGCTAATTAATAATTTACAACAGGGTGAAACCTGAGCTTTTTTAGGTTACGTTATTGATGGATCACTATCTAACTGACCCTAACGAACTCTAAGTACAGATCTGCATCAAAACGTAACCTAAAATCTCAGGTTTCACCCTGTCGTAATAATTTATTCAGTCATAATTCAAATTATGTAATGTGTTGAACTTTTTAGAACGTGTATTCTTTTCAATGCTTCAAACGCAGGGACATGGAATTTTTGCAATATCAAATATATGCATATTATGCTTCTGAGATGAACATTACGAGAAATATTATAATTCACATACTTTGCATTTTGATAGTCTTTACCGTTATGGGATTCAATTTCGGAAAATGAATTCCATAATATATGCATAAGAACACGGATTTCAATTTTTTTTTCTTGGTGTTACGTACTTATATAGCGTAAAAATACGTACATACGTACATTGAAAAAACGAAACTGGTTATGGTGATTAAATAAAAATATAACAAACTACTATCGAACAGGAGTGGCATGCTTCAATTGAGACGTAGAGACTTGTCCAAGTTTTAGGTCTTTCGGTCTTGCTGTGTTATCGAGATAATAAGATGAGTACATATTTGCTATTTCTATCACATATATATTTCTAATGTTTCTGCACTATGTATTCTAATGCTAATTACTATATTTCTCTCTTTTTCACAGTTATGCTGCGGCTAAGTTCAATACACTTCATATGATTCACGGTAATCACGTGTTAGTTATACTACTTTTTTTGATACATCTAAATATGCCCTAGAATTTTTTTACTGTGCAGTGTTATTGGCTAGTTTTAGGATATGTTTAGATGTAGGTGCAGATGTATCAAAAATGAATGTTTTGCAACACGGGCAAAGTAGGCGATCTGTTTATTAATAAATGCTGCAGATGAAATTTTGAACTCTACCAGGGCGGCCTTCAAAAATTTTGGAGTGCATTTTTTTAGGGTTGGGATCAGCTTTAGGGATAGAATTTATAATGAACAAGTATAAGTGGGTTTTAAGACGTTAAATAGAAACACCAAATTTCATTTTAATCCGATTTCGTTATGATCCGCGACAATCTTCCCATCAAATTTCACTGTCACGTGACAACGAAATGGCGCACAAAAAATCTTTAAATTCGTTTAAGTTAGGGTTAGTGATTACGATAGAGTTAAAAATTAGCAAGACATATAGTAAAATTGCTCAAGAAAATTTTTAGAGTTCAAAAGGTGGTCTTCCTGATCGTGTAACATTACATCAAAGCGAGACTCGCTATTGGATAATTTACATAGATCTCACGTGCTAGTGAAACTTTGATGGTTTAAGGTAGGGATGCGGTTATACCATAAAAGAAAATGGTAATACAGTATAATACTAGGTACAATACCGTATAATATGATATAGCATGGTATAACTAACATCATGCTCTCAGCTTAATATTATTCGGATTTATTCTATGGAAAACTTCGGAATTGCAAATAAAGCTGTTTTCAAAAAGGTGTGAATAACGATTTCCACATACCTATGTGTGGAATCGAAAAATTGGGAAATTATCATTAGTAAAAATTGAAGATCCGATTACAGCTGTTTTCAAAAAGATGTGGAAAACGATTTCCATATACCCATATGGGGTATCAGAGAATTTAAAAATTCCATTTAGTAAAAATTAAAGAACCGATTGGAGCGGATCTTGAAAACTTTGATCTGCCCGTTCCACATCTTTTTGAAAACAGCTATAGAGTTGGCTTTGAAAGTTTTGGAAATCTGGGTAATTTCGTGAATTTCCCGTGATATAGTTATTTGCGTCTGTTCACACCTTTTTGAAAACAGCTATAATTGGCTAACCCAAGGTCGTGTTATATTTGTACATCAAGAATCCCTTCATTTAATGGTAATAAAACCATCAGGGAATTCTACTTTGGCTTGGGTTAAAGTCACCAAACTATTTTACTCATATGTATTATTAATTCGAGTCATGTGACTGGCACTATAGCTTGTCGAGTACATTCGGGTGAAAATAGATTAAATAATTATCATCAACAATCTCTATTTATTATATCGATATTCATTTTCCTGTAATTACAAATTTTAAATTATATTGTAATAACATAGAAATAGCGTTAATTCGCAACAACAGGTGTTGATTTATCGTTATTAAATTCATCAAGTTTGAAGTTCAGGGCTAAATGCCATTAAGATTTTGTGCAATCATATGGTATATCTTTATAAAGTAAGACATGCGTACTTTTGAAAGATGGCCAAAATCCGGACAACTTCGGATAATACTGTAATATGTCGCAACGAATGAAATAATGATGCTCTAAGCCACGTATAACGCTAAGCCTCAAAACATAGAATGAGTTCCCTTTAGCGGAAAGCTTATTGTCTAGAACCATGTTTCTTGTCAAGATTTCTACAAATTAAACGTGCTTCTTAGTGTTAGCACTAAGTTACAATGTAAAAAATTCATATTCTCTAACCAACATTTTAAACGTTATATCTTATTAACATTCATCTTAAGTTCACAATATGGCATACGTTTCGTTTTTTCCGTTTTGCGTCCTAACTGCTTTGTTCGCGTATCCAACACTATTATTGATTGTTTTCTGTCCGATGTTCGGTAATACTAGTCAAAGATCAATATATACTAGTCAAAGATTAATATTTAATTATTTTTAAAAATTCTAATGGTTTTTTTTTTTTCTTTGATTTTTTACAGAAGTACTCAAGATTTTTTCATTTGTTGCAACTAATGGTGCACTAAAATTAAACTGGTTTATCGAAATTTTGTAAGAATATATATATATTTTTAATAATATTTTCTTCAATATGGAGACTATTAATATCACTTATTTACCAATCTTATCAATCGTATTAATTTCGTCAGGTACTTGTGTACATCATCTTTTCCGATCGGTAAATAAAGATTCCAATTTAATTTTATTTATTTTATGTGATTACTTCTTTTATTTATTGACTTTCGAAATTCAATAGTTACAACATTTGTTTGCTGTTTATCCAGCAAAGTGGGTGCAACTGCTACATTTAGGCAGGAACGAATGAAAAGATACCTTAAACGAACTTTAATGTATTTATTATTTATTACCAATTGTCTTTTTAAAATCTGTTTCATGGTTTTTAAATTTAATACTAGACATATTTCGAATTTTTTTCTAGATACTTATGCCCGATTTTATGGATAATTGTTCCAGGCAAGTTTTCATCGTATTCAAGCGTTTTCCAAAATATCTTAATCTTTACCAATTTTCTATCCTTCAGGCTTATATACATATTTAACATTCTATGAAATGGGAGATGTCCCATTCACATGTCCACAAAACTACACCTATACCACCTCAGAGGTTCGATTAGCATGTAACATTAGACTAACCAACCTATTATGCATGTTGATATTTCCAATACTTTGTGCACTTTATGCAAGTTCAGTTTGGATATTAATCACATGCTCAGAAAGAACTGGACAGAGGTGTGAATCTAGAAGTGTTCAATTTTTAAAATTGTATAAAAATGCTTTATTCTCAGACAACGGGTACAGTAGAATTATCGATGATGATGATGATGGTATAGATTTTGAAGAAAATAGAGTATTGTTTGATGAGGAAGAAGAGTTTATAAAAGCTGAACTTGACACGTTTAACTCAAATTCTAATTCTGATTCGGCATAGTTTTTAATCTAAGATCCTGAGACTTGTAAATTTTGTAATTATTGTTAACTTGATGACATTAATTTAAAACAAAAAAAAAAAACTTGCATATTTCATTATTCTTTGAAAGATAGCTATTTACCTGTCTTTTCATATATATGGTTTTGTATTTTGGAGAGTCATCCCATTGTTTGACTTTTTTCTATTGCATTATATTATCTTTCGGGATCTTTTGGGAGTCAGCTATCATCTATCATAGTTCTTTTATTTCATGAGTAATAAATAAATCGATATATTAAATGTGTTTATAGTTTAGTCATACTATACATATATATAAGATTGATTTCAACTATATACATTTTTTTAAGCTTTTTTTTTCGTTAGTGTTTTGTCTAGTTACGTATAATAGCGATAACGGCAAAATACATGAATCCAGTCAATAACATTGATCTAATAAAAAATTTTTTCTAAATACCGACATTAATCTAATTTCGATGTAGGGTAGAATTTTCTAAAGTACTACTATTATTTTATTTGGATGAATCATCTGGCAAACTTTTTATTAAAAATTAAAAAAAAAATTTTATGAACTATGTTACCAAAATCAAGGATGTAAATGGAAATGTTAGAGGTGCAGACATATTGTCGTAATTAGTTACAACCTATTTTAAACCAGATTATTTTTATTGAGATAATTAGGTTACGACCTAATTACGACAATATGTTGATGTTTGGACAAGGTCTTGAATAGAGATGTACATCTCGCGAGATCATATCGCGCGATTTCTTGCAAGACATGTGATAAAATTCAGAATAATAAAATTTAAAATAACAAATAAAAAAAATAAACCGCTGATCATTAAAATTTTTCTAATCAATTAATTTATCTCGCGAGAAATATGACATCATTTCGCGAAAGTCATGCGAGATCACAAGTGCGAGAATTCTGTGATCTCGCGCAAAAGAGAAATGATAACTCAAAATTTTTCTATGATAACTTGATTTAATTAATTACCGGTAAGCAAAAATGATTAGCATCTAATTTTACATATATGTCTATACATATATATCGATATAGTGCATCATTTTTGGGCTTAGCAATCATTAGCAAAGCCACAGTTATATAAATTGTAATGAATTGTAAAAGAGTACAGACGCCGTAGCCGGACTCCCAAACCCAGTTTCCTTTACACAGTGGGGTTTTCCTTTCTGGCTCAACGAGGGGTTCAGCCCCCCTCTCCTTACTCGGTTTCTTGAAAGGACAGGGTACCACGCCCATCCCCAACCCGTCACCCCTAAATTTAGGGTTAGTGTAACGAATTAAATTTTTAAATTCATATTTTAGTCGGTAACTTTGCCGCATGTACGTTCATAGTTTATTTGTGTTACCCCATCCATTTTGGTAACAATGTCCAATTTTAGTAGATTTATTAATTTCATTTGATTATTTTATAACTTATACTAAAATGGTAATGATGGATTGGCTTGGTGGCTTAATCATATGAATGTTACTCAAGGCACGTAAACGTGCCAGTGGGCACGTAGACGTGGCCGCTTGAACCTGTTATAATGATACCCTTGCATGATCATGAGAAGATGACCTAGAGGTTGGCACGTAAACGTGCCAGGAGTTCAAAATGTATATAAGAACCATGAATTCAATAAACGAAAGGACAGTCAGTTAGTTAGTTCCAAGTCCACTTTCAATTACCACTAAATAATATATAGTTACTGGATGCGAAGCAGCCAATAACGGAAATTATTTGTAAAATAATTTCATTATCTGGCTGTGAAATTTAATATGTCAGCTTCTGAGCCCCAAAGGGGCCCAGAAATGACTTATATTAAAGGTGTTCTCAAGCTCCTAAGTCAATCTGTCTGAATGGGTCTGAAGAGTAAATTTTTGTTAGTAAAAAAATAGTTTAACGAATCGATTGTGACGGTAGCTTAATACGTCAGAAAGAAAAATTTAATTAGTGGAAAATTGTTTAACCGATCAAGGGTATTTATCATTCCAATTAAGAGATGGAGGCCCAGACATCCTTTTTTTTTCATAGGGTTGCGCTTATTGGCCAAAATTTTTCATTGATTGATTAGAAAAATTAATTGTTCAAGTGCTTCTCTCTTTGCATTATGAATCTTAAAAATCGTTACTAGTGCCAACAAATTATTACTATAGACGTATTATTGCTTTATTGATATTACAAAAAAACATATATTTATATTTCAAAAAATTTATTTATTTTTTCGAATTCTCTATTTGATTTATTTGTCGCAGTAGGATTCAAAAAAGTTGGGTTTGACATTTTTGTTGTGCAGTAACATATAAAATTCGTGAAGTCTGAAAAAGAGGAAACAGGAACCGAAATTGTTGGAGTCGACGTTTTGTTTTACTGTTAACTTTAGTAAAGTCTGAAAAAGAAGAAACAAAACTTGGAATTGTTGAAAATGATGTTTTGATATATTTTTTTTGTTAATTCATCGTTTTCATTTTTTATTCAAACATAATAGAGATCACCGCAGGTGATCATCACCGCTCTATTACAGATTTACTTAAGGAACCGATATTTAGAGTTAGGTTTAGGCAGGGTTAGAATAAGGAAGGTGAAATTATATATGAAATTTTGTTCTGAAAACTTTTAATTAGTGCACAAAGGTTCATTGCCATAGTAAAATAACTTGTTATCGAGGTTTTTTGGTTTTTTTTTCTTAGTTTCGCTATTGTTTTGGTTACACACGATCCTACGATTTGATTGGTCGAACATATGAGCGGTGATGAT